GTTTAATAATATAACATTTTATAAATTTAATAATTAAGTATTATGTTAATTATACTTTAGATTTTTTATATTTAAAATGAGATGTTTATCTTATATTTGATTATGTTTATCTGCAGTTAGTTATACAAATTCAGATATGAAGCTTTAATAATTTGTACTTACGCGCAATATACTTGCAAACTTGATTTTTAAGTAATATGCATTAATAAGCAGTACTTTACGTATAAAAAATGGTTTTCAAGAGTTTTTGTCAAATGCTTTATAATATATTATAGATATAGCTTGATAGTTTAATAGTATAATAATAAACATATATATTATTTCATTATTATTATTATTATAACATTAAAGATGTTTTTAGGTGTTTTTTTAGTATGCGGTTGAAGTTGTGTTTTTTTTAGTGTTTAAAAAACCTACCATTTTTAGTGTTCTTTTTAATGGTTGGGTTGGAGATGCCTTAACTGTGGAGAAACTCTTACATAATTAACACTTATCATGTAAGAAAAGTTCTCCAACAATCCATTTTAATAATCTAGAATATTACTCGATAAGACAAATGAATATAATAACTATTAATCACTAAACGTTTGATAAAACTGATTAATATCATAGATTTAAAAAAAAGATATATATATATATATATATATCTTTTATATATATTTAATACAGGAAATTGACCAAAATGACTAGTTTATATATCGTACGCTAACAAAATGACTACTTTTAAGCTTTTTTTCAAAAAAATAACCAACCAAATCGCCCCCCAAGGGTGATTTTTGACCAGAAGTCTTCAATCCTTCACACCTGCTGCCAATATATGACCAAAAACTTTTTTATTCGCATTACGTTGGTTTTGGGTGGACTTAGGACCTTGAACAAGTGTGTACGTCATACAATTTCCGAACATGAAACATACTGGTACCATCGATAGAAACCGCCATTAAACGCCAGTTGCAGACCGAAGTGGAGTTACACACTGCCTCGTAGCGGTGTTTGCTTGATTTTTTAATCTTTATCTGAAAGTTTTCATGAATGCACTTTGATCTCAATGCGAGCTTCAATGCTTCCTTCGAGTCAAAGGTTTGTAGAACTTCTATATGTGATGTAGGCTGGTAGGAAGTGCTTTCCTGTTTAGGTTTGATAACAGGGGTTGGACAAGGTTTTGGGTCAGACATACCCCAAAAACTATTTCTTACTAGATGAGTTTTTTTATAATCTGAGTTATTATCTTTGGGTATATTCAAAATTTCTGCTGCAACAGAAACATCTTCATCCATATTTACCCCCCTTAATGTTTTTGACTGTTTCGAAGACTGGTCCGGAGATTGGTTCAAATCTTGAACCAAATATCTATCATGATCAACATGATTTATTGGTTCAAAATTATCAGACGGTTGATTATCGGGTTCATTGACTATGTCAGCACCATGTTGATTGATTCCCGCAACATTGTAGGTATGAGCGCCACTACTACCGGGGAAGAAACTGTTTGGTTGAT